GTAGAGCAACTTACATAATAATAGTATAAGAGAAACTTAGATGATTATGTTATTAGAGCAACTTAGATAATAATGGTATTAGAGCAACTTAGATAAGAATGTTATTAGAGCAACTTAGATAATTATGTTATTAGACCAACTTAGATAATTATGTTATTAGACCAACTTAGATAATAATGTTATTAGAGAAACTTAGATAATAATGTTATTAGAGAAACTTAGATAATAATGTTATTAGACCAACTAAGATAAGAATGTTATTAGACCAACTCAGATGCTAATGTATAAGAGCAACTTAGATGATAATGTTATCAGAGCAACTCAGATGATAATGTTATTAGAGCAACTTAGATAATAATGTTATTAGAGCAACTTAGATAATAATGTTATTAGAGAAACTTAGATAATAATGTTATTAGACCAACTAAGATAAGAATGTTATTAGACCAACTCAGATGCTAATGTATAAGAGCAACTTAGATGATAATGTTATCAGAGCAACTCAGATGATAATGTTATTAGAGCAACTTAGATAATAATGTTATTAGAGCAACTTAGATAATAATGTTATTAGAGCAACTTAGATGATAATGTTATTAGAGCAACTTAGATAATAATGTTATAAGAGCAACTTAGATAATAATGTTATTAGAGCAACTTAGATGATAATGTTATTAGAGCAACTTAGATGATAATGTTATTAGAGCAACTTAGATAATAATGTTATTAGAGCAACTTAGATGATAATGTTATTAGAGCAACTTAGATAATTATGTTATTAGAGCAACTTAGATAAGAAAGTTATTAGAACAACTTAGATAATTATGTTATTAGAGCAACTTAGATAAGAAAGTTATTAAAGCAACTTAGATAATTATGTTATTAGAGAAACTTAGATAATAATGTTATTAGAGAAACTTAGATAATAATGTTATTAGAGCAACTTAGATAAGAAAGTTATTAGAGCAACTTAGATAATTATGTTATTAGAACAACTTAAATAAGAAAGTTATGCCGGCTCGCCACGGCGAGCCGGTATTACGTTAGGATTTTACTGAGAAACAACCTAAAACTCCGAATACATCCAAAAATTTAATCGAAGCTTGGCTTCCAGCTTTCTATAAAAATTTATCTATCAGGGCTAGGATCCAAAATTATTTAATCAATCAAATTTAATCTTACATAGCGTCAAAAAACCTTCAATTTTCACGCCATATTTTAAAAGCAGCAAGTATTGTTTTGAGCGCAAAGATATTATGATGATAAAAAATGTTTGTTTTCATGAATTCTTTTCAATAAATCATATTAACACTGACTTTTGATTTAGCGATTTCACCTGTTCCTCTGTAGTAAGTTTTCGTTTTGGTTATTAAACATAAGTGTTACACCTGGTTCTGTGCCATTTTTTTTTTTCCTTTTTCCGGTCATTTTATTTTTTCCGGTATTTAGTGTATATATTACTGGCCGGGGATCGGGACGCCCGGACTGGCCGGGATCCGGGATCGTATAAGATATAGAGGAAAAACTTATAAACTATATTTGTGTTGATTATTGTCGTAATGAAAGGCCATTAAACGTTAAGTTTTATTGTATGTAAATGAACGTTAAATTAATTAAACTTTGAATATAAATATATTTAGAGCTATTTATCAACAACCTTAAAAATCACAATACTTATAATTATATGCCTAATTAATTGGAAAAATCAAAGACCACATTCTTGAATTGGTCAAATCCCGGATCCCTTTATGTTTTAATTTTGCGATCCCAGCTTTTCTGAAAAACTATATTCTTGAAACTGGTCAATTCCTTGGATCTCTTTATACTTTTAATACGATCCCGGCTTTACTGAAAACTATATTTCTTGAACTGGTCAATTCCGGGATCCCTATATGTTTTAATAGGATCCTGGCAATCTGAAAAGCATCTAAGACTGGTTAAATTCCCGGGATCCCTATATTTTTAAAGGATCCCGCTTTTCTGGCTGAATTAATTGACAACTTGTGTTTACTTTAGGACTTGTGTCTGTCTCTCATTCCAATACTAAATATCATATTACAACTTAACTTCGTATAAAGAGACATCTTTATGAATTCTACCTATCTAACATTTATTTGGTTAAGGTCAAAAGGCCATATAGTAAATGTGCATAGACATAGGGACTTCATTCTATCTGTTTACATGCCTCTTCATATATACTCATATTCCTCTTTGTTAAACTGAGTGAAACTGGCTTCCATAACTTTATGTCACTTTTATTTTGATGTTCGCTGAAGTCTCTTCAGCTAACATAACTGTCATTTTTACATTTAAACGCACCCCTGGAAAAAAATTACGAAGCGAGTCGCTACTAGCTTTTTTAAAAGCTAACCTTGTTAAAGCAACTAAGATATAAAATGTTATTAGAGCAACTTAGATATAAAATGTTATTAGAGAAACTTAGATAAGAATGTTATTAGAGCAATTTAGATAATAATGTTATGAGACCAATTTAGATAAGAATGTTATTAGACCAACTCAGATGCTAATGTTATAAGAGCAACTTAGATGATAATGTTATCAGAACAACTTAGATTATAATGTTATTAGAGCAACTTAGATTATAATGTTATTAGAACAACTTAGATAATAATGTTATTAGAGCAACTGAGATAATTATGTTATTAGACCAACTTAGTTAACTTAGATAATTATGTTATTAGAGCAAGTTAGATAATAATGTTATTAGAGAAACTTAGATAATAATGTTATTAGACCAACTAAGATTAGAATGTTATTAGACCAACTCAGATGCTAATGGATAAGAGCAACTTAGATGATAATGTTATCAGAGCAACTCAGATGATAATGTTATTAGAGCAACTTAGATAATAATGTTATAAGAACAACTTAGATAATAATGTTATTAGAGCAACTTAGATAATAATGTTATTAGAGCTACTTAGATAATAATGTTATTAGAGCAACTTAGATAATAATGTTATCAGAGCAACTTAGATGATAATGTTATCAGAGCAGGCTGGTCTGGATCCATGCTGGTCGCAAATCCATTATGTTGGTTTTGTCATGACGCGGCTCATATCAATTCAAATGATGATATTGTGGCATTTACAACACGAACACTCTAATATAAGTACAATACGGATATTGTGTGTTAGAAAAACATTAGAGTAATGCTCATCTTTTAAAAAAAAAAATTAGAATTTCAACACAAATATATAGTCCTCCTCTGTGGCCCTGAGCTTCACTTTTGTAAAACCTGTATCTTAATATCAAAAATTAGCCAACTCAAGACTTAAAACAAGTACCATGTGCGTTTGTATTATTTTATTGGAATTACGAATCTTTAGTTCCTTGATGAAGGTTGTTTATTTGATTTACCGGAAATGACTTATTTTAGAACGTAAGCATTAGAGACGGCCAATTTACAAATATCTTATAAGACAACAATCTCTTGTTACTTAGTTAAGATTTTCTGCTTAGATAACAAAGCGTTGCCTCCTCAAACATACAATCACAGATCACACAGGGCAAACAGACGTACATACAAATAAAATTACATCCCTTTATACAACAATTGTAGATTATCTGTGAAATTACTGTACACATTACTGCAAGCGTTCATATAAAATGTTGCTAGGTATTTAGAGTACAGAGCAGAGTTTTGAAAATGAAATCTCAGGATTTCTATATATATGTATTGTAATTATTTAAAATTATTTATCAAACGATTAAATTCACCAAGTAGTAAATAAATGCCGGCTATCGTGAAATAGTAGTAGAAATGTAACATCAAGTGGAAACAAATTCCAGAAGTATTTCTCTACCGTCAATGTTTTATATCACCTGTGATTCCGATAGACTGTTTATCATACAATGTATTGTGGATATCGCAGTTTCTTCTGTTATATCATGGATCGTATAAACTGTCTGCCATATAGCTGTTTAAACTGGTGCATGTTCAGACATCCGCCTTATCAAGACCACCATGTTTAAATCTCGTCGGCTTCATGGATAAAAATATATTCTCAACATTAATAGGGCTCGAAAATAGCCCGAAATCTATCTAAATGTTCCATCTTCCCTCTAAAATTCTGACTGATCGATTATTTCCAATACTAGTATATTGTTTAAGTATATTTATTTCAACAATCAAAACGTCGAAAACCTTGAATCATACTTGGTACTTTAGTACAAATCATCGCTATAGTGGACCCTATAGGATGTATGACTTGTTCATATATCTGCTGTATTTTTATTCATCTTCAGTATTCCTTAATTATAGCTGGACAGACGGGTGGAGGAGCAATAGACGAGAGTGTCTCACTGTTTTATGTTCAGTAAGTGCACTGCAAATAACAACACGGCTGTGTTTCAATACTTTGTTTACGAATGTGTGAGTGATTGCAATTATAGCAAGTGTTTGTATTTTTGACGCCATAATTTCCGACATTTTTGTCCGGATGAATTGCTTTTTACACAGAGTAAGGTATTGCTTGACCGCAATAATTTCAACCGCATTGCTTTAAATATTATCTGATTTAATTACAATTGAGAACGATGGTAGATATCAACATGAACAGTTTAACTTCCGGACTAAAGAAAATAGCTCCGATTTCCGCCATTTTGCAGCTCGTTTACCCCGAGGTCATTAATTGGTCAGTTTGGTCCAATCAGATAAGATCTTTCATAAAAAGGTGTGATGTCTCAGAGTTTTAATGGCGCCATCATTCATGTAATAAGTCGGTAACAATGACTTATTTTATAATGCTAAGACGTTTATCAAGGCACGCGATCAACGTACTGAAGATTTTGCATGAGATTTTAATTCGATTTAAGATTGTGTTTTATTTCCTATCTATTTAGTAGGTAACAAAAATGATTGATATGATTCCGACTTGATATTTTACGAACGTCAATGAATATAAAATAAGAATATATCACTACTTCACATGAGAAGGTTGTGTAATGCACACACGTAAACAGCTGGAAAAAAACATCAAACTTAAAATTTTGTACTGTACTCGAATTTCACTTCACAATTCACTTGTCATTGAATAATTGAATGAAGAAAGATAAACGTTTGGGAAAGCTTGCGCATTTGTTGTGGGCGGGGTGTAAGATAAATTGACCAATAAGGCGAGCAGTGATAACAAGATATTCGTATGCGATTGAGAGACCGTTATTGAAGCTATGTGATTTACCGAAAGTGGATATATTTCCTAATTCTGAGAGATTATTTGATATTCGTATTATGTTTTTTGATAAAAAGCGACTACAGGAATTTGTTGTTTAAAGTTATATTAGGATTTTTGTTTAGTGAAAAAAGTAAGTGTCTGTTCATTTCACTAATTTGTGTTGTATATGTGAAATTCAGACCGTTGGAATTAAAAAAGATAGGAGTTTTTTTCTTCATTGTTTTGCAAAACTTTGATTAAACTCAAAATTTTTGCAAAATATTTTCTATTGGCATTTTTGCTTTCAACATATTGAATAGATTGTTACAGTTGAAAACAGTAGGGGCATAGTTTGATTTGAATATACATGTATAGAGATACCTGATTTAAGGGTCAGTATGGTTTGAACGTCAAGGTGCTTCATAAAAAATCTACTGATTCCTCAATGAAAATTAAAGTATAAAAATGAAGCATTCTTCAAGAACATTGTTAGGATTTTATGTAGTATGTTTGATCATATGTGTACGGACGGACGAACAGAGTGACCTTGTAGTAAACAAGAATCGAATGCATGATGTCGTTCAGTCAATGCTTGGCTTCAAAGGCAGTCCAAACATGCCTCACCCGGCACATATGGGAGAAGATGCCCCTAAATATATGTTGGATTTATACGAAAGATTCAAGAATGGTCCAATATCTAAAGGTCAGACTGAGGGAAATACAGTTCGAAGTATTAAAGCAAAAATAGGTATGTTTATGTTTATAAAATATATTAAACAAATAACATTTATAATTTATTGTTAGCGATATCTTAAACCTACTGTTTTAATTCAGTAAACACACCATTTCCAAAGACACTGGAATATTGATAGTTGACTTGACATTTAGCTGAAAAGGGATTTGGAATAAATTAAAACCGTGTTTTTATTAACAATTTATTTATCCCGTAACAAACTGTTTTCCAAATTTCCTTAATATTTCATCCATGTTTTATACGTTACAATGAACGACTGAATAATTTATGTCACAAACTGCTATAAAAACGTAAGCGAAATGCGTTAACCTAGAATTTTCAACATTGTTTCATACTTTATAAAACGACCAGGTGTGAATACAGATATAAGAAAATATTTTCATTTTATTGCATTATAATAGAACAGGACCACGGGCGATATTCGTTGATTTCTTCTATTAATTAACATAATTGACACTAAGACGTTATTTTCACATGCATATACGAACATTCCCTGACCTCTAAAATACTGTCATAGTCTTAAATCTTAGTTTTAACTCCAACATAAAGCACTTGTGTTACAAGCACTCCTATCATAACCATTAATATTTCTTCAACAAGAAAATGTAAAGTTTGAGAGCCATAAAATTACAAAGTAAACACTATACATGGCGTATTTTTATGTTGGACGTCAATATTTATGGGTAAACTGGATATAAACAATAATCTTGAAATGTTAAATATACATCATTTCATGTATAGTACCAACATTTAAACAAACAGACGCCAGCACGTGTCCTGTCTGAACGCAAGGTTAATGTGTATTTCTCTTTCTTGCAATCAGAAATGAATTATCCCATGCCCTTTCAACATAGGCCACAATCTTAAAAGTTCGTCGGCGTCGGAATTATATATTCAAAAAACGGATAAATATCAGTCCTTTTAAGTGTTGATATTTATGGAAAAGGCAGTGCTGGAAATAGCATATAACCGACCTGTAAACGTTTGCAGTAGGAGATATTTTCATAATTACATTAACTTATACTTATTTCATCTGTCAGTACAAATTTAAGACACATTCTGCTTTCATAATCTTGAATATGATGTATGTGTTTAATCATATCATTTTAAAATTCTGTCTTAATGTAACTTATATTATTAAAAGTTCTGGTTCAAAAACATAACGTATGTTTGACACTTTTGGTATTAAACGCTCAAATATTTTCTAATGATGAATGATTAAAAAACAGCGTTCACATCTAGTGGAAATGATTTTCATTTTGAACCACCAATTCATTTTTCATCAAAGCATTCCATAAAATTTGTTTTCTGTACGCATGGCCGATAATCCTTGTTAAAAGCTACAAAATACACTATTTCATTGACATTTTTTATGATACTTTTATGTTTTTCTCTAGTGTTTCATAAAATATTGTAAATCTGTTATACTATGGTAAAACGTGCTTTAAAATAAAACGAATTACTCGTTGTACACAAATATTTATATTCGAGCTTTTTTATGCTTCCATCTTAAGTATGTAACATAAATCATTGTTTATTTCAGCCGTTGATAAATGTAACATTATTCATGATTTCTAGGTATGCTTATTCAATCACATTTATATTCATTTGTCAAGTTAGCTTTAAAACATTACACGTGGCTATAAACGCTTGTAACTAAATGCTTATATAGATCACAATTTATCAGCAATGTTAATTTATATCACCAATAATTGTTTAGGTTAATACCTAATGTTAATTTATAGTGATAAATTACCTTATAAATTGCTGAATAATTAAAATACAAAATACTTGAGTTACACCCTGTAACAGATGGAAAGAATAAAAACACGATTTACAATAAATGAAACCAGTCTACGAAACGTTTCTTCTGCACTTTTTAAAGTTTGAAGTGACACAGCATTGTTACCAATATTACATTTTTCCATTGAAATTAAAACATATCTTTTCCCTATCTTTGATAGATTCAAGATCCGATTTACAATATAATTCTTTAATTTCTGTTTTATTTAAAATTTACTATATTCCCCGAGGAGCGGTAATTCAATATTTTACTATAGCTCTTGTTAATCGCTTGGTATTGTATTTCTAACACTCAAGTTCAACCTTTTCACGATCAGAAAAGGCTATCATATTGTCGATTTGTTTTGTTTTCTTCCATAATTTATCAGTCAGTATATCTCTAAGCTCTGCAAGGGACCTTTCTGACAATGTTTTTGTCCTTAAACCGTTGATTTTTCAAAGGTTGAAAGGTGTCACTCACGTTTAGCGCTGTCGTCTGCTTTTCAAAAAATCTCGTCTGCCTTTTTTGTCGATTTAAGGGGCGGTTTTTCTGTAACCTGAAACTACGTCTTGCAGCTGCAAGGTGAAAATGCCCCATTTTCTTTACAAACGACAATGCAATAAATGAGAATTCAATGAAACAAAACATTGCTAGAAGCACATTGGAACTATATAAATATGAAATAAAACCTGTCAGTGGTGGTCAGATAAAAGTGTTTTTGAAAAATGATCAGTAAACTTTATTAATTTCCCGAGGCTTCCTAAGAAATTGAATACAACGTAAAATAGAATTTTTGTCCAATTAAGGGACTTCAAAAATATCATGTACTTTATTGCTCCTTTTCCCCTGATCATACCTGACGGACCATCAACTAAAATGTTCTGTTGCTTATTGTTTAACATTTTGTAGACTCGATTTGCAACTCACGACGAAGCCAAAAATGTCTTTTCTATCAGATCTTCTAAAAATTTCATAAGAAACCACTTATGAAATCATTTGCTATTTATCAACCATCTTGACATGCCCTTTTCTTAGCAATTGGTTTATGACAATTGATGTTCAAATGTGTATAATATTGCATAGAAGTGCTTGAATAGCCTCACAGCCAGTTAGATAACATCAGAGTTTGTACAAATGTTTCATCACATTGTAGTAATGGGATAAAAACTACATCTCTAGTCTGAACTTGGCCTGGTATTTCTGATAGGCAAATATATTATTAATATATTGGTATAAATTCATACTGTGACTGCAATGTTCATTAAAGTTTTAATAGTTTTACGAAAATGTACATAATAATTCAGACAATATTAACGGCTTAACATGAAAGTAACTTCTGGATAAACTGCCACTTTCCACCATATGGAGGGAAATACAAAGTGTTAATAAAAATGTTGTAAACAAAAAAAACATCACATTGGTTTTGGTATACCACATTTTTAACACAATCATATTACACACAGAAGTCACTTTTTTGGAAGAAGACTATTGACACAAGACTTGTTTTTAGAAATACATGTGTTACTAGATAGAAGGAGGGTCTCGTATCTTTATTTAAATCGGCTACAGAATTTTTAGAAAGTGTTCATAAAACGGACAATGACATTTTAGTCACTTATCATCCGAAACTTGCTCGACATTTATATCGCTAAAATGAAGAGTTTAAATGAGCCGTGTCACGACAAAACCAACATAATGGGTTTGCGACCAGCATGGATCCAGACCAGCCTGCGCATCCGCGCTGTCTGATCAGGATCCATCCTGTTCGCTATCAGTTTCTCTACTTGTAATAGAGTTGGAAAAGCGAACAGCATGGATCCTGATCAGACTGCGCGGATGCGCAGGCTGGTCTGGATCCATGCTGGTCGCAAACCCATTATGTTGGTTTTGTCGTGACGCGGCTCAAATATCTTGTGGTAATGTTTGCAAAGACAAACTACAATGTTTACATGATAAAATAGTGTCCGCACTAAAGTCAATGTCTATGTCCAGTTTAATATTGCTGAATAGGTTATCTAACACTGTCCCTATATCTTTAATATCACATACATTACGCGCCAATATGGCACCGTGTTCGTCTGCTAATCGGACTTGACCTTCACTTCAACCAAACACGATACGCGTTCTTTCATACTTTGAGAAAATTTATTTTAAGTTCCAGATAAAGTATTGCATCTCTATTTTTTCTAAATATACTATATTTGCAAGGTTGAATGCATTATTAAATATAATTTCATTATCATATTATTATTTTACACCATAACTGCTCAATTACAATTGAAATATTTTGTCATTTGAAGGAGTAATCTTCCGTTAAAATGTGACAACATCCTCCTTTTTATGCACGCAATAAATATTACACCTGTTTCTAATTAGGAATGAAATGTGTGTATCAGTAGGCATAATTAAGCATTTTCATCATGCAGTTTAATTTCGCTGACAAACAATATGAACGAAACGGTCACTACTGTGTAAAAAAACAACAACAGGTGTTTAACGTAAGATACCTCCCCACATGATTATACAATTTTCTTAAGCGGAGAGTTTAGGAAATAACAAGTTTTCTTAATGAAAATGAGCGTGTGCAGATTAGCATGCTACAAGTATAAAACATCATAAATCACTTCACAAACATGAGAAATAATAAGAAATATAATTTATAGCTGTATACACTACTATAATTATAGCTGCTTGTTGTTTCAACAACACCTGGACACAAAGTTAGAATTTGTTTGTTTTAAACACTGTATCATAATGGCCATGAGAGAAAACTTTAGTTGATTAAAAAGTAATAAATAAATGACTATATAAAAGCTAAAAAGCAATAAGCAATAAAGAAACCTATTGTTGTTCAATTAAATTTAACTAACTATTCCTCATGGTGTTCATTTTAGTTATAGTCTCGGACACCTGTGTTGTTTTTCCTGTATATTTAGAAGCTATCGTACAATAAAATTTTATGGTCAATCAAGTTAATTTGAAACAGTTAATGTTTGGTATTCAACAGATTCCAGTATCGACACATTTCAGATTCGTGAGAAATGCAATGTCATGGTGTTTGGAAAGTAGTTCTCCATATCCTAACAGTTCGTTGTTGGAATATGAAAAAAAAGTAGTTGAAGAAGAAAAAAACGTAATACTATTTTGAAACTGGAACCTTTACATTAGTGTTTTGATACGGCGCACCTGGTCAGATGAGGCCAATAAATAA